CTTGCTAATAGTCAATTTATGGCATTTACTCTCTAGCTATGTTAACCAATTTGTCAGTTCCTTTAGCATAAATCTATTAAAACCTATATCTAATAACTGAAATCATATTGACTTCCCCAGGAAAAATCAAGAGCTATGTCACCCCAAAACTCCCTCTACAGTTGAATGCAAATTACCTCTAGAAATGTCAAGAGTTTTCCCACCTGCAAACAGTTGCAAGAAAAGTTGGATATCTGTTCACGTGACTTGAGTTCATTTTGTGAAGGTCTAGCAGTCAAACTCAGAGCAGCTGTTTTAGGGTTTTGATTATGCCTATCAATACCCTTTCTTTTATCCCCTCTTAGCTTTTGCAATCCTAAGTGATTTAGCCATTGCATAGGATTCTGTTAGCAAGAGCTCTGAGTGCATTTTATATTCTGCTAATTTACTATTAAAATACAAGGCTGCTCTGAGCCTATGAAATCTAGTCCAGCATAATGCAAATAGGATAACAAGAAATGAGAAATCAGAAGAATAATGCTATTGTATTTGCCTGCTTTGTTTTGGACAGGGGACAGGGGCAGTAGGTAGGCAGGGAGGGGCAAAGAGGAGGCTCGTGGACATTTATTACCTCATAGCCATGTCATCCACATCGTCCACACATGAGTGTCATCTTGCTTCCCAATGTTGTGATAGAGGAAGGGGCAGAAGGGACACTGTGCAGCTCTCACATCCATTAGACTCCTGCCCACCCCACCCTCCGCCACCCCCAGTGCCTGGAGCACAATGGTATCTCTCAGTGAGCCAAGGAAAACTAATAAAATGTGTGCAGGTACCTTGGGCTGATGTGCCCAGTGCACTCAGGAGAGGGTTAAGGGGAAAAGGCAGTAGCCAGGCTATGGCCATGTAGCTGCTAAGCAGTGCTGCCACCAACATAGCCAGTTGTAGGTTCAGGGATGTAGGTCATAAAACTGCAAATGGGGTTGTTGGCACTTTACATTCTGCATGTTACGACAAGGCTGGCTCACACGCTGTCCTGGATTCCTGTCTCTGCTGGAATAGGAAGACCACCATGCCTGTCAGTTTCTTGGTCTGAATACACAGAATTCAACCTATTCAAAGTGATGATAGGGCTTAGCTGTGGGCATCTGCTCACTTGGTAACCATTGCATGTGCTGGAGTGACCCAGACTCTTATGGGTAAAGAATCCTAGGATCTGCCTGCACCAGCCTGGAAGCAGGTGGGAGTCTCTCCCCCAGCAGGGACACAACCCCTGATTCATTTTTTGATTGCTTGGATCACTGGTTTTCAGAGATGAGCCAAGTGTCTATTTTTGCTTAAAGCATCTCAAGGGTAGGCTAAGGTATCCTTTTTCCCCTTGCAATGGGTGGTGAACTGTATGGACTGAATATTTGTGTCCCCCAAAATTCACATGCTGAAACCTAACCCCCAAGGTGACAGCATTAGGAGGTGGGGCCTTGGAAGGTGATTAGATCTGGAGGGTAGAGTCCTCATGAATGGGCTTAGTGCCTTATAAAAGAGGCCCAAGAAATCTCCCTCGCTCCCTCCATGTGAGGTGACAGGAAAAAGACAGCTGTCTATGAACCAGAAAGCGGGCTCTCCCCAGATGCTGAATCTGCCAGTGCAGTCTATGGCATTCTGTCATAGCAGCCCGGACAGAGCAGGACGTAAACCAAAGCTGAGTCTTGGGACCCGAGGTCTCATTACCACTGTGTAGACATGAAAATCATCAAAGGCAGCCGCCTGCCCACTCTAGAGAAGCCACTCATGGTTTGGGCCCTTCCCAGTTGCGGGTTCCATGGATGTTCACACATCGCTGTTCACCAGCTCAAGATTCAGTATCTGTAGCAGGTGTAAGCCAAAATTTACAGTTAATGGCAGACTCTGGGGCAAGCAGGTGGGTTTTTAGATGCTTCTTCTTAGGCAATTTAACTCTTCCAGGCTTTGGTTTCCTAATTTGTGAAATGACAGTAACAGTAGTTTCTTCCTAATTTGGCCATTGTGGAGTATGAATGAAAAACACAGGTAAAGTGCTTAGTACAACTGTCTGGGAAGAGTAAGTTCTTAATAAATACCAGCTGCCATTACCATTATACATAGTATTAAACTTCTCCTGGAAATCAACCACATCTCTCCTTGAACTCTCTCTGGAACCAATGGGACTTTCAGCAACATGGAGTGGTGACTCCTGGGATCTCGTGGTGATCAGAGCGTGGAGGGGGGCAAGCAGTCCTCCCTCACCATGTCTCCAAGGAGGTGGTTGCTGAGGCTTTGGAAGAGAATTCGACAGAGCTCAGACCCCCTCAAGGCTACTGTGCTCTAAGCATGTGGCGGTTAATTTCAAGCTTGATGACACATTCTTTCCAGAGCAGTTGCCAAGAAACAAGGTAATCTTGTTATAGAAATATTGCCCAATGCTGTCACTTTGCTGGTTGAAAGGGTTTTAAGTGGTGTCAAATTTTATTATTAGCATTCCTGGTCTCCATGAAGTAATCATATAACAAGACAAGTTATGTCAAAAGACAAAACCGCAGGCCCAGGTTGGCACTGTGTACACAACAGGCATTTCGTTTCCTTTTGATATTGATCCAAAGATGTATTAAACAAAAAATAAAGAAAATAACACCGAGACCACATACTTACGCTGATCAATAGCCCCCCATTGGCAGCATGGCTTTTGCTGATAAATTGATTTCTTGCAAGTCCTGGGCAAGTCCTAGGTAAGTCCTGGGTGTGGCCCCTCAGCTCTACGGTTGCTAGCTATGTGGCCTTGGATGAGGCAAAGGATGGATGCCAAGTGGATTAACACACAGCACAGCAGGCACAGGGTGGGCTCCAGCACTGCCACCTCCCATTCCTTACAGGTGGCCGTGTGAAAGGGCTCCTCACACACTTACATGCTAACAAGCTACTGCATCTGAACAGGTGGAACTCAGGGGGTGTTGAGGCAGAGAAGGGCAGCGAGAGAGGACTGTTCTTTCTACGTGAGTATTCAGTAAAGGAGTGTCATGTCATGCTAGTAATCTAGTGATTTCTTTATTCAGAAGTGAGTGACTCTTTACTTAGTAAGTTCTGCTGATTATATACAGAATAACTATCATGACCAGTGAGAGCACTCATATCCCATGTAGTCAATAAGAATTCTTACTGATACAAAAGTAGTAGTTCTTAAAAAGATGCACCTTTTTTGGCAAGTCTGAGCATAAATTTAATGCACATATACATTGACAAAGACAGAATGCTCCTCAAATAGAATCATAGGATCTTACTGCAAATTTTCCATTATCCCAGGCCAAAAACTTTTCATGGAGATGTTCAAAATTATAATCAAAGTAAATAAGAAAATAGATGCAAATTTAGCTTTACAAACTTTGACAATCAACCAAAAGCATAAGGTACAATCAAGACACATAGTCAGCTACAACCCACCCTAGAAAACACCATTTTGAAAGCAGCACAAATCCTAGTAGCCAGCTCTGGGCAGCCACCCTAAGTAACCTGGTGAAGGTGGGAAGGTGAGGGGAAGAGGCCCAAGTTCTGGGTGTTCAGGGTCACTTCTGCTCTAGTCTCTGCCAGGGGCCCAAGTCACCCCCTGGAGGTGGGGACAGAGTATGAGCAAGTCTTGCTGCTGTGTTTTTTTACTTCCTCTCACCCGTGGAGATAAGCAGAGGGGCAAGTGACCTGTCCCTACCACCCCAGCAGGACTAGGCCTGGGGTCCCCTTCCCCAGGAAAAGGCTGCCTTTCAGCAGGTGGAAACTGTACCTGGGCCACCACCACGCAGTCCCACATCTCCTCTTTGTAGTTACAGTGGGGAGCTCAGACGCCAAGGCAGGAAGAGGGGCAGTGGGCACAGGAAGGCCAGGACAGGGCAATGCCCCCAGGTACTCCTTTGCTTCAGTGCGGGTGTGCCGTGTTTCCTCTAACTAGGGGAACAGTATCCCAGAGACCAAAAGTCAAGCATGAGAAAACTTCTAGGCCACTTCTGGTTGCCACAGGCAGTCTGGGAGGTATACTTCAGATGCTGAAGTGCCAGGGTTTATAGGTCATTTGAATGGTTTATGGGGACATGAGTTGGAGTATTTAAAATCAAAGGTGTTCTAAAAAACCCAGTCAGGATGATGGAAGAACCAGTACATCGTGTGCATGGTTAGTGATCCAAATACAGCTGCCTAAGCCCAATGCCATCAGTTCCCTGGGATGTAAACCTTAGCATACTGAGGGTGGAAAGCCAAGCCTGAAGTCAGACCCTGCCATCCACAGAGGCACCCACCCTTTGCCAACATTGCAATTCATTTCCAGAATCTATTCCAATGAAGGAGACTTGAAAAGCTGAGAAACTACAGAGGAATTTAAGTTTCAAGGTTACACGAATCTGTCAACTCAACTCCCATCACAGGTATAGCCTTTACTCCTGGAGGACAAAGCCAGAGAGGCACCAACCCGGAGGTGAACTTCACCTTTGAGGCTGGGAGATGCCTGGCTACGGGTAGGCCCTTCAGCAGGTTTATAGAAATCTCTCCAACAAGACTGAGAATTCAGCTTCTGACAGATCTAAAAAGAGGGCCAGAGGTCAAATGCGGGACAAGTGGCTGGTGGCCTCTAGTGGTCACTGATGGTCACACAAGACCCTTGACTCACTATGAAGGAAAAAGTGCTTTCAGATTTCTCCCAATGCAGCAGTTGTCATGAGAATATGAAACAAAAAAAATCAGGAAGAAAAAAAATGTTTGGGGCCGGCCCGTGGCTCACTCGGGAGAGTGCGGTGCTGATAACACCAAGGCCCCGGGTTCGGATCCCACATAGGGATGGCCGGTTCGCTCACTGGCTGAGCGTGGTGCTGACAACACCAAGTCAAGGGTTAAGATCCCCTTACCGGTCATCTTTAAAAAAAAAAAAAAGAAAAAAAGAAAAAAAATGTTTGTAATTACGTCTTTACTATTTTATCAAAGAAAACCCTGGAATACTAAATAGTTGTCCTGAAACAAAAATAGTTTAGGCATTTTCTTTCAAAGATGTATTTATTAAACTCTAAAGCCTCAAATAACCGTTATTTAAAAAATTCAAACTAGAAGAAACCTAGGAAAACTAGAAATCTTAACATCTTTTATAGAGGGTGGTAGGTGTCCTTTTTATTATTATTATTCTTTTGCCTAAAAGAACGGTGAGCTAACATTTTTGGAAGCTTCATCAACTGGTGAATTTCATCGTGGTCTCCACTTTATGTCTTTTACCCCGTGAAAATGTCTTTTCAGAGCAGTGTTATCCGCCCACGGAGAGTTTAAACAGGAGTCGTCATCATTTTCTTCCAATTTCTGGAAATAAATATGTTTTGCTCAGGAAGGCATTTCAGGAAAGTGTTTTGCACATAAAGAGACTGAAGAAAAAGAATCCATGACCAACCTCCCCTCTCCCTGCCTTCCCAGAAGCAGGACACTTTCAGAGTCTGATGCTGGAGGACACCTGGCAGGGCCCCAACAGCCCTGGACAGGTGGAAGCTCTAGAAAGCCCCTACCCCAGCATCCTGCAGAACTCACCGCCCCCACCCATTCCAGTGCCTTTGCAGAAGGCGCGGGGGGTGTCAGCTTGGTTTAACACCCTGTACCTTGAGCTCCTCTTGTCTTCTGTGATAATACAGCATTAGCTGCTTCTGCTCCTCACTGCTAATGATAGGTTCTCGGGCTGGAGCTCCCTGTCCCCTCTGAAAAGATTAGAGCAAGAGCAAATTGTGGAATAAGGCATTCTCACAGTGACAACCTAGGGAGTTACAGCGAATGTTATACAACTGCCTTTGCCAACTGCTAAAGACAAAAAGGTCATCCGTGTCTGATCACCCAAAGGGAACATCAAGGGAAGTCTTGGTCTTCAGCAGCTCTGGACTCCTGTGGTAGATGGAGACCAGAAGCTGCATGATGCCACCTCTGTCATGACCATTCCCAAGGGTGCCAGTGCAAGTCCAGCGGGGAAGGGAGGATTCTCAGAGCCACAGGGTCTGGATGTAGATAATGGTGCAGAACCCTGTTTCCCAAAAATTATAGAGTAATGATTTAGGAGCATACATAAAACCAAAGTAGGCTTGCAGGCAGACAGCTCTGCATGTTGTCCTAAAGTGTCTCTAACCCTTTCTCCTCATTTAGAGCATCAGCAGTTTGAAAAAACTTGAAATCAGTGCTCTGGGCTCTGTTTTTCATTTCAAGAAACATATTTACTTGTAGCCCTATTTTTAGGTTGAAATTAACATGGCATTACTTTTCCCCCACAAATTAAAACAAACTTTACATACTGCTAATCAATCCATATTTTCTTCTAGTTTTTGTTTGATGTACATAAAAACGATACTTTTAGTTTAAGCCTGAGCCAACAGGATTAAAGTATTTGCACAAGTAGCTAAAATCTTTCAGATTTATTGTAAATTTGCAACAGTTTGAGGGTAAATAACAAAAAAACACTGATATGTTAAAGCAAAAGTACTTACTTGCTGAATCTTGACAATAATTTTAGTTTTCTCATTTTTCCCCACATAGTCTGAAAGCTTCTTTGTTCTTCTCAACTCCTTGGCTGCCCACCACAGTTGTGCCTCTGATTCTTTAATGATGCTGAGTCCTGCCTGGGGCCAATGGTAAGAACCAGCTTTCAGAAGCCTATCAAGACCTGCCATAGATGTGGCCCTTCCCCAGGAGCCAGGGTCTGACTAAGGCCCCTCCCAGCAGAGGACAGGCTCCCAGCACCCTGTGCTCCCTCTGCGCCCCATGGGAGGTCCCACCTCCCCCACCTCACTTAAAGTCCTTGCTGATGTTAGTATCATCCGTGTTGTTTCAACTCATGCCTGACTCAGTTTTCTTGCTCTGGAAAATGGGGAGTATCCTACTTCATTTGCACCCTCATCCATAATGTAAGGTCCCCTCATAGGCAGATGTGCAGGCTACCACCAGGGAAGAACACTAGAATCCTTGTGCGTTTTTATTTATTTATTTATTTTTAAAAGATGACCGGTAAGGGGATCTTAACCCTTGACTTGGTGTTGTCAGCACCATGCCACGCTCTCCCAAGTGAGCCATGGGCCGGCCCCCTCGTGTGTTTTTAAAGAGTCATGGAGGGGCTATTTGTTTGCCTCTGCATCTACCACCTATTTAAGGTGGCTTAGAGAAATATACACTGTCTGAAAGGATAAGGAATACATGAGAAAAGCTAAGCAAAATGTAATACAAGAGTGAGAAAATACCATGAAGCACAGGGTAAGGCTGCCTCTCTATACGTGGGCCAAACCCATCAAGTATGAGCACCACACTCTCGGGGTCCTCTGGAATTCAGAACCCTGCTTGGAAGCATGGTGCAGCGAAGACGGAAAGCAGTGCATGAAGCAAAAAAACAACATCTATGAGAGAAGAGTCAAATCTGAAGGACTTCTGCCCTCTGTGGGGACATGAACTCATTTTGAGAGTGCCTAAGAACCATCTACCTGAGTTCCTGACAAGTCCTCTTTATTTTCAAATTCCATCCGGATGGGGTCGTATGGTGGTAACCCCATGGGATAAACAATCATCACTGCACCTCGAAGCTGGTCCAAGGCATCTTTCACCATCTCCATCGTAACACAGACACTGGCTTCCACTTGTTTCTGAAAGCACACAGGCATTATGATCTACAACGTGGCTAATTAATTCAATAAATATCGATCAAGTTTTTGCACAAGACCCTTGCCAGACACTGCCAGAGTAACAAAAAGGAATCGAACAATTCTTGCTCCCAATGTGACCACCATCTAATTCAGGGGCTAAGCCATGTATGCCACGGCCTATACTATAAAACAGACTACGAGTAGCCCTGAGAGAGTGCAGTGAAGTGCACAGAGAGCTCAAAGGGGAAAGAACCCAAATCAAGCGGCACAGATGGGAGAGAGGAGCAGGAATACTGCAGAAAGGGAAGGCAGCTCAGGTGGGCCTTAAAACATGAGCAGATTGAAAGGTGGAGATGGAAGCAGGGTGCTTCAGGACAAGCAGAGCAAAGAAAAGCAGGTGACAGCCCCCTTGGCTTGGGACAGGAAGGAGAGGGGTGGGCTGGAGTTCTTTTTTGAGTGGCCATGAAGGCCAGGCTGAGGAGTTTGTTTGCATTTACTCTGCTGGGAGATGGGCAGCTACGGACTTCTCTAGGAAGGAGTGATAATGGTGGGAGATTAATCTCGCAGTGGGTGTAGAATGACCCTAGTTGGAGGGAGACCAGTTAGTAGGCTCTGAAGAGTGCAGAGGAGAGGTGTGGTGCGATGAAGAATGTATCTGGTCTTTGTCCCAGTTACTAGCAAAGAGCTTCAAAAACCCTCAGAATTTCCTGAATGATAAGATTGCCTTTTGTTATTTATTATGAGCCCCATTTTACCATACCTGGGTTTGTGTCAACAAGGTAACCTATGTTCAGCCTTTAGATAGTTTCAATGAAGGGGTTGGCCATGCCAGAAAGACCAAGCCCTTGGTGACTTTGCCCTTCAACTTGTGGTATCTGATGCTAACTTCAGCTAGTTAGTGTAACAGTTGAATTGAATTACAGGGCACCCAGTTGGTGTCAGAATGCAAAAGGCTATAGAGGAAACTTTAAATAAAGTGGTAGCTGTGGAAATGAAAGAAGGAGGCATATTTAAGAGGCATCATGAGAGCAGATAGTACAGGACTGAACTTAAAGCATGAGTGACGAAGATAGAAGTGCTACAGATGACGCTGAGGATCACAGCCTGTGTAAGAGAGACACTGGTTGTTCTGTTAATAGAAACAGAAAACCTTGTAGGATGTGCTTATTCTTAGGTACATACTACAGAAGGAGGGGAGTGAGGAAACAATTTCAGTTGCAGAAAACGTGACTTTGAAGTGTGTCTGTACATGCAGATAGAACCATCTTGGAACTAGCCAGAAACTCAGTTAAGGAAGATGTCGGGGTAGAGGACAGAAGTTTGAGAGTTATCTGCAGAGGGGTAGAATTCGCATTTGGCAGAGTAGATAAAATGCCAGAGAAGAAGAGGGCCAAGGATAAAGTACTTGATAAACACACGGGGGAAGTGACACAGATGGGTATTGCCACAGAAGAAAGTGGTAGGGCAAAGGGTGCCGGCACAATGCCCGGGCCGCAGTTTTCTTACCATGCTCTCAGATGTGCGATCTGCTCAGATGTTAGTAATTATTATTATTACTTTTTAAAACGGCTCTGCGGTCAAATGCATTTTGCAAACATTGGATTGAACCAAGACCTTTCCTGTAAGACTTCACAGAGCCTTTACTATATTAACAGACATGGAGGGGCAGCCTTTCCTGAAGGTCTTGAAAGATGAGTTAAGAGCTCAATGAGTTTGGGAAATGTTGGTTTAGAAGTAACAGTTTTGGGCAGCCAACTAGCTCAGTGAGTTAGAGCAGAGCCTTGGACCATCAAGGTCACAGGTTCGGATCCCCATACCGGCCAGCCACCAAAAACAAAGAAATTACAATTTTGCTGAGTGAATCGGGGAGAACAGAAGAAAAAGCAGTTATCAAGTGAGAAGACCTGGAGATGAGGGCAGTAGCAACCAATATCACCAACATGTAAATAAAGGCAACAGACAAAATGACACTTCTTTAAATATCCCTAAGTTCTTTTCCTCCAATATGCACATTATCTACCTATCAGTGGTATAGTTTATGCTTCTCCTTAAGACAATTATAGAAAATTTATATATAACACATTATGTCAATCAAGTATCTGTAGAGCTACTCTATGGCTACAATATTCAAATTTCCCCTATGTATCTTTCTTAAGTTCTTCAAAAAGGTAAAAGAAACAAAATTAATATGCATCAATTCACATTTGTATTATATATAAATCTCTATTTACACCAGCCAACAAAAATTTTTGTCTGCCATATAGGAACTGGGAGGATTCAGGGTAACTGTCACAATAACAAAAAGGAAAAGCAAGGGCCCACCCTAACTAAACATGCTTCTTTCCTTTGCCTCTGTAAGGCTTTAAAAGAAAAGAGAAGAAATGAAAAGGTTGCTCGACAGATAACTCTGGAATCAAAAGACAAACTTAAGAGCATCATTTTAAAAAGCTAACCTTGGATATTATTGCTTTGGCTTCTTCTATAGTCTTCTTTAAAACTTGCTTCATTTTTTCATTTGGTGCTATAAAAATAAAAAAGAAGAGAGGGAGAGAATCAGCCATCAAATATACAGCCTCTCTAAAACTCTTCTTCAATATCCCAGCCCCTTCTGTCTGAGTCAGGGAGTACATGAAGTGAGAGAATTGCAAGTGTGGAATTTCGGTGAGAGATGCCAAGAGCCTTGGCAATGGGAAATCAGGTGAAGATCTCTTCGCTATAGCAGAAACCCGGAGTGTGCTTTCTGCATAGTGGCAAAAGCTACAAAGAACAGGAATACATGTCATTGGGTAGATGGGGTTGGCACACTTTTTCTGCAAAGGGCCAGATAGTAAATATTTTAGGCTTTGCAGGCTACACGGTCGTGGGTGCAGCTACTCAGTTCCGCCATGGCAACACAAAAGCAGCCACAGACAATACTTAAACAAACAGAGTGGCTGCATGCCAACAAAACTTTATTTACAAAAATAGGCAGCTGTCTGAATTTGGCCCCTAATTTGCTGACCCCTAAACAAGAAAAAAAAATTATAACTTGAAAGTTTAGAAGCAATAACAATGGAGATGGAATGTCCAAATTTAGGGAAGATCGGGCAAGTTCAAACCGTATATTAATAAATAACAGTATTAATCAGACACTGAAAATGCTATAAATAAAAAACTTTATTAGAATAGAAATGGTTAATATAAGACAATATTGGTTTAAAAATGAATAATAAACTGTTAACTGGTTCTTAAAAGATATTTTTTTTTTCAGTAATGTAATTCCTTCTGAAAAGCAAAGAATCTCTCCAGATTGAGAATGAGTTTAGGTACGAAAAGATGTAAAAGATAATCAATCATTTTCCAGGTTAAAATTCAAAGGAAATAATATTAGGAATTCCTATTATTCCCAATATTAAAACATATATATGTGTATATATATTTTTGAGCTTGTAAAGCCCTTACAGGGATACCATTTTGTATTTCTTCTGCTTCTACACAGTGTTTTTAGGAACATAGTAGATAAGTAGGTATTTCTTAAATGATCAATTATAGTTTTTTAAATGGAGCTTTTTATGTAGGTTAAAAGGGAATAAGCTAGCAAAAAAGATTATTGTCCTTTTTTCCTTTCAATTTCACTTGATCAAACATCTACTGAAGGAAGAATTTCTTGAGCGTTCCATCATGTACTAAAGTGTTTTGCCCCAGAGAGAAGCATGTCCTTGACTCAAATAGAGACTCCTGTGCTGACAACCACATGTTTCTTTCAGTCTCTAAAGAAACCCCAACATCTGCAAACCATAACAAAACACAACCTTCTATACATTTCCAATGAATGTCTGCCAAAAACTACTAGGTTGAACCATACGAAATTGCCAATACTCCACCATTTTTGACCTACAGAAATCGTCATTTCATATGGTTCATCTAATATGCTTAAAAGCTAGCTGCAACTTAAACCAAGAATCCACAATCTTCCTTTACCCACCTAGGTCACTGTAGATTAGTTTTACCACAAGGAACTGTATAGTGCAGTATTTCATAAGTTTGTATAGAAACGTTGAGGTCAATTTTTTAATTGAAGGAATCACTTTCATACTTATTGGTATATTCAGGCATGCACATAGAAGAGAAATGCTCCATTACCTTGCCCATTCCTTCGTCCAATATCATCCTTTTTAAAAACTGAACCCCCACTGGGTACACATTTTCCACCCCATTCATCCTTTAATTTCAGTTCTTCAATCTGGTCATCAGTCAGTCCTTGCATATTAGGCGGGAGAAATACGCCGTGTTCTGCTAATTCTTCCATTTCTTAAAAATAATGGAGAATTAAAAAACATGTATGACAATCACCACCATAACACCTTATATCCCACTGGAATGTAAGCTCCCAAGAGGCAGGGGTCTTGCCCATCTGGCTCACTGTTTTATTTAACAAACATTTATATACCACTCACTATGTGCCGAGACCTGTCCTTGACCCTTGACAAATAGTCCTTGATGACAGAAGCACAGAGAGCTTAGGAACTTGCCCCTGATCTCAGGCAGTCTGGTTCAGATTCTGTGCTCTAATCTCTGTGCTATGTTGTGCTTCCTGGAACTCAGGAGGTAGAAAGTTAATTTTCATTTAAAGCTTGAATACATATTCATATGGGGCTTTACAGTTTCCTAAGTGTGTTTACATAGATTATCTCATTTACTTAATTAATTTTGGCACCTGGACCTTGGTGTTATCAGCATCACACTGTAACCAACTGAGCTAACTGGCTAGCCTTTTTTGTTTAATTTAACCTCATGAGATAGACAAGACAGTTATTAACATCCTCATCTTCCTTGATTTACAGCTGTACCATCTGACGCTTGCTCAGATGACACAGCTAATACCTTATATAAAACTTAGATACTTCATAAATAATTTATATAAGTCAGTGGAGAGAATTTAAGGCAGCTCGAACCCCTTGAAAGTAGGAGAGAGAGGAAAAGGGCCTTGGTTTTCTAGTATCATGTTCACTATTCAGATGAGATTGGGCGCGTTCTGGGTGGTTGGCCGTAGACCATGTTCACTGTTCAAATGCACAGCTTCATATTTTTCCTAATCCATATATATGCATCCCCAAACCACATTCTAACATTACAAAATTGCTTTCCTTCCTTTATCCCTCCCCTTCTCTCCTTCCTCCCTCCCTTCCTTCTTGTGAAGGAGGCACATGGATCTAGGTGTTCCCATAACATTGTGTGAAGACACCATGTGACCTGCAATAATACAATACTATGAAACTATGGTGTAAATGAATGGCATGCTCATTGTCTCTCTCCCTCACCAGACTCTAAGCAACTGGGGTACAAGGGGCTGCCTTACTCATCCTTGTCTTCCTAAGGCGGTGCACTGGTGCCTGCCTGAGTGACAGTTAAGACGGGTGACTGTAGAATAAATTGATGGACTGATTCCAAGTTCACTAACATGACTCTTAAATTCAGCACATTTTCAACTTATGTCATAGAAAGAGTTGAGTTTGTTTTCTCCTTAAATGCTTTAATTTTAAAATAACATTTAATATTGAGCTTGTTTTGGAAGGAGTAAGTTTAATTAAGAAACTATACATATATTCCATGAAGACACCATGACCTTTAAGAAGTTCTCCCCAGTGCACAAATCACGTATTTAATTTATGTAATTTAATAAATCACATAAGTAAATAAGTTTACTTACTATACATAGTTATGTAAATATTAAATATATAGAAAAACAATAACATCCTAGACCACACCTGGAGTATCTTCACTTCAACTTCACGTGCTTGTTTAAATTTAAATTAATTGAACTGAAATAAAATTTAAAAATTCAGTTCCTCGGTCCCACTAGCCACATTTCAAATGCTCAATGGCCACATGAGGACAGCACAAATCGGGACGATTTCACGTTGCGTAAAGTCCTACTGGACAGCGGTGCTCTTGAGGGTATTCGGCGGGTGACCGCACCGGTGAGACAGGGAAAAGAACACTGAGGCTTTCTCTTTATCTTCTCACCTTTGAAAGGCTGTCCCAAAGCGAGGGGCTCACCACCAGGAACTGCTTTACCTCAGGAGCCTCAAATAGGAAATTCACCTTTGAAAGCCCACACAGTTATCACCCCACCCCTGACGCTTGTTTAACTGCACCGCGTCTGCTCTGCAGCGAGCCTTTGGCTCCCTCCGAGGGCCTCCTTCCTCTCCACCCACTCCCTCTGCACTTACGGCACCCCAAATCCTGGCTCCAAGACACCTGGTACACTTGGCCTCTTCCCGTGCCCACCTCCGAGCCGGGGGTGCCAGACTTGCCCTACGCTCTCCGGTTTTTATCCATCTCCGATGTCCCATTTCAACTCCGCTTGCTGCAAATCTTTGCACATCTCCACAAGCTTGATCCCTCGCCCCCGCTGCCCGAGAAAGCCTCGCAGGTCCTGCTATCTCCCTCCGTCCCTGCCTCGGGCTGCGTGGTGCGGGACCACAGACTCGCCGTGCCCGCCGGGCCGCACCTGAGCAGAGGCGCTGCACCTTGAGCCGCCCGTTGTAGACCCGGGTCACCTGCACCGTAAGCTCCTCCAGCTCGGTGCTCCCCGGCGCCTGCAGCAGAAACTGGCTCTCGTCGCCCCGCTTCACGTGCAGCAGAACCATGGCGGCCCCGGAGGCCCCTCCGAGGCGTTGGGGAGGCTATGAAGGCCCGAGATGCGCGGCCCACGGGCCCGGCCGGCCGACTTCAGCCGGAGCGGCGAACGGCTACAACGCACTAACCGCTGCTTGGAGACCGAAATCCGAGGCTCGGGCGCCCGCGCAGCGGAAGGGAAACGGCACTCGCTCCCGGAAGTGGCTGTCGCCAGGAGCAACAATTAAACATAGAGCCGGGCCGCCGCTCTAGATCAGCGCCTGAGGGTGGGGGAGCTGGAGTGCGCGGAGACCCCGCAGTCCACTCCCGTTAAGTAGCTGCTGCCGGGTCCACAGTCCCCAGTCTGGGACGGCCGCTGATCCAGGCCGCACCGGCAGAGAGCATTCGATGAGCCCCGCCCCCGGAAGTGGCTGTTGTCCAGACAACTCTCAAACACAGAGCAAGCCGCAGGTCAGAAGCGCGGAGCGCCCAATCGACTCGAGGGAGGCACGAGATTCCACCCCGGGGGGGTGGGTGGGCTGAAGGGAAGGGCTGCTGTGTTGGGAGTGGGTGGGGTGGTGGACACCACAGGCCCCAAGTTCCACAGCTGCCTCTCGACAGCCGCTCCTAATCCCAGCGTCCTTTTCGACGCCCGCAATCTCCACTTCCTGAACCCCCCTTCTCTGCTTCCGGTCTGGAGAAGTTTGCAGGAGGCCAACTCTGGGGTCGCTGTTTCACAACGTGCGCGCTGGTCTGGTTTTCAGGACTGAGGACCAGGCCGCTTGCGCGCCCTTCTTTGTGCAGGCTGATTCGGATTTGCATACCTATGGTAGCTCAGGCGGCTGCTGCCAGCGCGATTCTTTTCAGAGTATCCGTTCAGCCATCGTCCGGCACATACTTACCGAAAGGCAATCGGGGTCAGGCGCTGTTTATTCCAGGCACCCCGTGACACAGCGGCGAGTCCAAAGTCACTGCTCTCATGGAGCTTATGCTTTAGTGTGACAAAGAGAAAACAAAAGTAAATGGACAAGGTCAATACAAAGATAAGTATAAAGAAAACTAAACAGGGTAATTGGCTATTTAGGTTGGATGGTCAGGGAACGACTTAAGGGGTGGGTAACATTTGTATTGAGTTCTTGGTAACAAAGCGAAGTAGTGCAAAGCCTCTACCCGTGGTTATGTCTTTGTTCTTCCAAGGGGCCAGTGCTGTCGAATATATACTGATTTGAATATTACAAGCACCCACATCTTCGTGTTCCTGAAACTTTGGAACTTTGGTCTCCCCATAGGAACTGCATCCAGGAGAGTGGGGCGGAGTGTGGTAGGGAAAGTGTGTAACTTTAGGTGCGGAAATTGCCAAAGCCAATCCAGGGCTTAAAAAAATGAAGACTGATGATTGATATTGGATAGAAGGGTGATGGAGCCCAGGGAGAGGGGAGAACTGTGTCTCTAGTATCTTTAGTAGTGCTGAGGCAGGAATCACCCAGACTCTGGAACAGGCAGTATTGGTATGATTAGCAAACGTCTATCTCCCCAGAGAGAGAAAAGGGCTTCTATGTTCTTTTTTCTCCTGACTACTGACATAAGGTCATCCCCATTTCTTCTGAATACAATTCCGTACTCATCAAGCCAACTTCTTTTAAAATTTGGTTTACAGTATAACCTTCCAGGTAGAGAGAACCACTTGTCCACAAACTCATGTATTACAGTCTCTGGATATTATTTTTAATATTAATAAGTATAGAAAATTGTTGAATAAACCATGTACTGACTAGTTTTTTTAAAATACGTAATTTATCATCTGGTGGAAAATCACAGCTCAAGCCCTTGCACTCTCTTTAACCTTTCTCAGCACTGATATTTGTAGTTCTCGTAACTATATTGTTACTGCATTCCTCTCAGTGTTTCTTAAGGTCCTTTTCTTACAGGTCACACAAATCTGTGTTTAGCTTTTTTTCAGCGTGGTTTAAGCAATCATAAATCTTAAGCCAAAGCCTGTTGTCTTGCCACCACCCAAGTGGGTTTTGAATTCAAAGACAAAGATGACTTTCGGTGTGGTCTCATGCCTTTTGGCTAGTTTTCTCTGAGTATTTTAGGTACCGTTGCCTTTCTAGGATGAAGTGCATCTCAAGAGCTCTTGTATCGTTCAAGCAATCCATCAGTGATAAACTTATGGTCTGAATAATTTATGGGTCATTCATGATGACTGTGGATATCAGGCAGCCAGGGAGGAAGAGTAAATTTTACTCAATATTGACTTTTTTTTAAGTCCTAACACGCTATAGATACAGTTAAAATTTCCACATATTCCTCTCTGATCCCATTTCCCTTCTTCCCGTTCGCCAGAAGCAAACTGTTGTCCTGAATTGTGTTTATAATTCCCATTGCACATTTCAAACCATTAACACATGTATGTATCCCTAAAGAATAAATTGTTTTGCATATTTTAAGTTTACATAAATGGTGTCTTACTGTTATTTTGTAACTTGCCTTATGGCTCCACAATGATATTTATTCACTGATAGGTTGTTTTCATTCACTTATTTTCACTGCTTTATACTATTCTACTATATGACTATGCCACTCCATTCCCCTGTTGACATTTAGTGTATTTCTAGTTTTCACCATTACAAACAAGGCATCTCATACCCCACATACATTATTCCTCTAGAAGTCAAATTTTTTGTTGATAGGCATATGAACTTGACCTTTGCTCTCTAGAGTTGATGTGCCAATTTACCTTCTTACCAACAGTGTATAAGTTCCCATTTCTCCATGTTTGCTAATCTTTTAAACGTCAGACTTGTTTTTCTAACATTAATAAATTGGTGTTTTGATTTATACAATGGTTTTTTGTGAGTTTGGTTATCATATGTCAATCACCCTTGCTGTAGTTTCTGGACCTGCAGCGCTGATCATGTGAAAAGGATGAAAAGTAAGCTACATAAGTGGAGAAATATTTGCAAACCACATATCTAACAAAGGATGAGTAGTACCTATAGTATATAAAGAACGCTTAACACTCAACATTATAAAAACAATTGACTTAGAAAAGTCAAGGGGCTGGCCCATGGCTCACTTGGGAGGGTGTGGTGCTGATAACACCAAGGCCACAGGTTCGGATCCCTATATAGGGACGGCCAGTTAACTCACATGGGAGAGCGTGGTGCTGACAACACCAAGCCAAGGATTAAGATCCCCTTACTGGTCATCTTAAAAAAAAAAAAAAAAGAAATAGCCAAAACAAAAAAACAAACCCCAAACCCAGACATTTCACTGTGTAAGATATAAGATGGCAAATCAGCACTTGAAAAGATGTTCAACATCATTAGCTATTAGGGAAATGCAAATTAAAACCATAAGGAAATATCCACTGTATCATTCATTTCATTCAATGAATGGCTAAATTAAAAAATGGTGGCAACAGCAAATGAGGGCAAGAATACAAAGAAACTGGATCATTCATACATCTCTGATGGGAAGGTAAAATGGTAGGCACTCTGGACAACAGTTTGGCAGTTTTTAAAAAACTGAAGCATGCCATTACCACATGACCACCACATGACCAAGCAATTGCACTCCTGGGCATTATCCCAGAGAAATGAAAACTTATGTTCACAGCAGCTTTATTTGTAGTAGCCTATAACTGGAAACAACTCAGGTATCCTTCAATGGGTGTACAGTTAAATAAACTGTAGCATATCTATACGATGGAATAATATTCAGAAATAAAAAGGAACAAGCTATTGATACATACAACCTAGATGAATCTCCAGAGAATTATGCTGAGTGAAAACAGCCAATCCCAAAAGGTTACATACCATATGATCTCATTTACATAACATTCTTGAAGTGACAAAATTATAGGAATGGCAAACAGTTTAGTGTTTGCCAGAGGTTAAGGATAGGGGAAAGGGGGATGGGATGGGAGGTGAGTGGGCAGAGGGCAACATGAGCGATCCTGTGGTGATGGAAATGTTCCATATCAATGTTAATGTCCTGGTTGTGCTATCTTACTACAGTTTTGCAAGATGTTACCCCTGGGGTAAACTGGGTAAAGCGTACTTAGGATTTTTCTGTATTATTGCTTATGACTGCACATAAATCTAAAATTATATTTAATAAGTTTTTTAAAAAGTCTATTCTGTATCTGTAATTTCTTAAAAGGTTAATGAACATAATTCGACTATTTAAGAATCAAGGTTATTATTCTGAACATCAATCATATATGACTAAAAAAATGCAATACTCATAGAAACTGGGTTTTTTTGGTTTTGATTTTAAGCTAGTCTCCTTTTTTTGTCTGGCTGTTCATGTCCTAATTCCCCTCTGCCCCCAGTTGTTTCTTCTGCTAAGGGTCAGAAAATCATCATTCATGCTTTATGTGTTATTTTCAAGCCAGCAAGATTTTGAATGAGGGCCTCTCTTATGGAATAAGTGCATGGGCTTCTTAATGATTAGTAATCTCAGAAAATCTTTCTTCTTATGTTTAGAGTAAGCATTATATGGAGAAATAAAATAAATGAAAATAAGGTCTTGCATTAAAATACTTGATTTGGCAATAAGAATATTTTCCACAAATGTCATTAACTTGTATATGTAAAGTACAAGAGAAATAGCTGAGAAAAATTCTTCCCTTTTGAACAAAGAAGTCAGCATGGTAAAGACGGGTATATTTATTTCTTGTACCAGCACATTTCACAGGATATGTACAGAGTGTCTGTATACCACTGACTTTAAAACTGTACTTCTATAAAGTATATAGTTATAAATACTGTATGCCACATAAGCAATAAAATTCTTCCATATAAACAGCAATCTACTATAGAGAATAAAGAATTCACAAAGAGATCCTTAGTGTCTTGTGCTCTGCTTTTAACAGAACTGGTATATATTTAATAATACACAGAACAATGGCTAGTTATCTGCAGCATACCTTTAGCTTTCGTAACTTTGTGCATTTTCAGCAACTTGCCAAATATAGTTTTCGTGATAAAGGCTGAGCTGCTGCTATGTATATTTTAGACAGTAGTTTATACTCAATAGTTCTTGCTCACAGAACTGCAATTTGCACTAGTGAAGTTTACCGTACAATGAATTATTTTGTTAATGGAGAGCAAATACTATATACACTAATCATATAGATGTTAAAGCCACAGTTTCAACAAGTTAATTCACATTTTGAAGCACACTGCTTATAGTAATACTGCCGTTTAAAAGATACTACTGCTGAAATGATTAGAACCTCTGAAAAGCACAATATAAAACCCACAAGAGTTATTCTAACAGCAAATCCTGGCTGTTAGCAGAGAGGATTACTTCTGTAAATATAGTATTTTGATAACATTTGAGCATTTAGAAAAGTGCTTTTTTGCTAATAGATTTACTTTATGTTGTAAGTGCAATGCAGTTTGCTGTGCTTTTACATTTTACATACTATTAGCTAT